AGGCTTCGGCAGCAGATTCGCCGTTGGGATCAGAGGTTTCCTCCTCAGAGAACCCTAGATCCCCCAGATCTCGCTCTGTCAGAGCGTGTCCTTGTGGAGGGTTCTTCCAGCAAAGCCAGAGATGATCTCCAACAGACAGATCCCGTCGCCTCACCAGCCAGCCATTCAGAGTCCAGCGCAGACTGACGGCACCGTTCCAGATGAGGCTGATCTGCTCACCAGATGCCAAGCAGAAGAACAGATCCGCTCGATCCAAGCCGAGGAACAGACCAAGCAAGGTCAGAATCTCCGGCTGCTTTCGCAGAAAGGCTTTGCCCAGAGCACAGACCGCCACGTAGGCAGAGACCACCGCAGAGGACACCATGTCAGTGTTCAGAGGAGCTACAGAACTGACACAGAGCTCGATCCAATCGGGAATCAGAGAGAACAAGAAGCTCGGCTGCAACCGGTGCTTGCAGAGCAACAACACTTCCAGAACGTGTGCAATGCGAGGTCAGACTCTTTTTCAAAAACTCCTGCGAGATCTGTTCTGCGGCTCACTTCAGAGCCTTCAATGCCTCAGAGGCTTTGCGAAGATACTCCTTCTGTTCAGAACTCAGAGTATCCCAGAGATGCAGGAAACAATCCGGTGCATACAGAGATGCCTCCTCGGACGGAGGCTCAGTCTCCTCAGAGGCTTCAGACAGAGCTTTCAGTCGCTGCAGCGGCTCAGGCACGGCAGGTGCCAGATCGTCGTTGGGGTCTTGCTTCAGAGACGGCTTCTTGACCACAGCGGAGGCAGACGGCTTCTTGAGCACCCCAGACTTGCCCATCTTGCCGAAGAGAAGCGACCAGAGAGCTTGAGCAGAAGTTACTCAAGTACTTACATGTTGCAATCAGACAGCGGCTGCTTCTAGAAAGAGAGAAACCAAGACAGACACAGTGCGTCCAGATTTTCCTTCCTCTGCGACAGAGGTTCCTCTCGTCTGCAAAAAAACACAGAGCCTGCGACCAGAGCTTCCAGAGCTTTGTACGAAAAACCAGAACCCTTAATTACCTAATTAGATATAGAAACCCTTATGAATTAAAACAGTTGTTCATCCCTAAGTCATAAAAACCCAAAACCTAAGTTGGAGGTTTAAGTTTTAAGGTTGAGGGCTTAATTAAGGGGCTTAATTAATTAAGGGTTTAGGGTTTAGGGTTTAGTGGGTTGTTCGGGGTGGTGGGTAACCAGAAAGCTCCAGAGCTCTGGCACCAGAGGTCTCCGCACGTCTGCTCAGATCGGCTCCTGCCCAGAGCCAATTATCTAACTAATTAATTAATTGTTATCGTGTTTGTAATTAGTGCTAGTGGTGGTGTTGGTTGCGCTGGTGGTGCTGGTGGTGGTTGCGGCGGTGGTGCTGGTGGTGGCGGCGGCGGTGCTGCTGGTGCTGGTGGAAATGGTGCTGCTGCTGCTGCTGCTGCTGCTGCTGTTGCTGCTGTTGCTGATGGGTCTAATTAATTAATTAGTGGTGGTGGTGGTGGTGGCGGTGGTGGTGGCGGTGGTGGTGGTGGTGGTGGCTTCTAAGTACTAATTATGTATAATTAGGCTTTTATTTCTTATTGTTGTTGCTATCCTTATTGTTGTTGCTAGCTTTATTAATTAATTACTTATTACATAATTATTGATTTATTGTTCTTATTATCCTTATTCTCGTTGTTATTCTTAGAGTTATTAATACTAATTATTAATAAATATTGCTATATTATTTAGTTAAACCCTTCACCCCAAGCCCTTAAATAATTAATTATATAACTCCAAGCCCTTAAACCCAAACCCTGAAACCCTTAACCCCAAACCCTGAAACCCTAATTACACAAAACCCCAAACTCTGAAACCCGTAACCCCAAACACTGAAACCCTTAACCCCAAACCCTGAAACCCTAAACCCCAAACTCTGAAACCCTTAACCCCAAACCCTGAACCCTAAACCCCAAACTCTGAAACCCTTAACCCCAAACCCTGAAACCTTTAACCTCAGACTCTGAAACCCTTAACCCCAGACTCTGAAACCCTTAACCCCAAACCCTGAAACCCTTAACCCCAAACTCTGAAACCCTAAACCCCAAACCCTGAACCCTAAACCCCAAACTCTGAAACCCTTAACCCCAAACCCTGAAACCCTTAACCTCAGACTCTGAAACCCTTAACCCCAGACTCTGAAACCCTTAACCCCAAACCCTGAAACCCTTAACCCCAAACTCTGAAACCCTTAATTAACCCCAAACCCTGAACCCTAAACCCCAAACTCTGAAACCCTTAACCCCAAACCCTGAAACCTTTAACCCCAGACTCTGAAACCCTTAACCCCAGACTCTGAAACCCTTAATTAACCCCAAACCCTGAACCCTAAATCCCAAACCCTGAAACCCTGAACCCCAAACCCTAACCCCTCCTTGTACAGATAGATCCACCCCTCCTTGTACAGATCCTTCCAGATCTGCAGCAGATCCTGGGCTTCCAGAACCCTAATTAGACTGGGGTTGGTGTGCACCAGAGAGCGATTCAGATCTGGCCTCGGCCAGATGACCGGATACACCAGCCAAAGCCACAGAATCTGCTGCATCAGAAGCTCCTGCCAGCAGGAGCACAAGCCCGAACCACCAACCCCCAACCCCAACCCCAAACCCCACCTTCAGGCACCTGGCATGCGAAGTCCAGAGCTGGGCACCAGATTCGGCCAGAGCCTAGGTAGGAATCCCAAAGCAGAGGCCCAAACCCCTCATTAACCCCTAAACCCCAGACCCAAAAACCTAAACCCTTCTAGGCCAAGCAACGGGCGCATGTAGTCAGACGGGAAGTAGACCTGCAAGGGTTTAGGGCTCCAGGGTTTCAGGGTTTGGGGTTTCAGGGTTAGGGGCTCAGGGTTTAATTAATTAAGCACAGGATGGGAAGGCCTTCTTGCAGATCTTCTCCCAGATCTGTCCAGAGTTGGGCCCAGATGCGGCTCCACCAGAGCCCTGGCTGGCATAGAAGAATGCCAGATCACGGACATACAGCTGGTGGTTCTTGCAGTCCGACAGATCTCGGTATGCAGATGCAAGCCACCCGCCCCCCCCAGACACAAAAAACAAAGGCCTGGGTGCAACTAAGTAGCAGCTCTGGAACCAGACAGCCCAATCCCCACAGTCCTCAGAAACCTTCGCCAGATCCACCTTCTTGGCCATGAAGGTGTCCAGACTCAGATCAAAGCGGAATGCCGGCAGATGAAGACTGCAGAACTAATTAGCCGAGCTGCGAGTCCCAGACAAAGGCCACATTCCCGTTCACACGGGCCACATCATCGTCCGTGATCTCATCACAGACAATCCTGTACAGAACCTGTCCAGAATGGGTTGTTCCAGAACAGCTATGGTTAATTGATGACAGATGCACCTCGTTCAGTGTCACCAGAACGGACAGGTAGCAGATGTGGCCCCAGAGCTTCAGCGAGCCAGAGGCAGCCAGATATCTCTCCAGTTCGCCTCTGACGCGAGAGCTCAACACAGACCTGCGGCTCGCATTGGCAGAGTGCAGCCATCCACGCCCATCTTGCCAGACGTCGTAGCGAAGCAGCTCCGTCTGCAGAGCCAGGACGCGGTCTGTGCAGAGCAAGGACAGAGGGCCCCTCTGCCGGTCCAGCGTCTGCAGGGCAGATTCATCATTAGACACATGCAGACACACACACAAACGAGCGTGCACGGTCATTTTAGGGCCTTCAGAGTCTCCATCAGATCATCGGCAGTGAGCCCTCCAGACGGTGCCTCAGATAAGAGCAGAAGCACACCCAGAACCCCAAACCCAGACCCTTTCTCGCAGATTATCGCCAAGGCTCGCCAGGGTTGCCCAGGGGTCCAGATGGTGCCTCAGATAAGAGCAGAGGCACACCCAGAACCCCAAACCCCAGACCCTTTCTCGCAGATTATCGCCAAGGCTCGCCAGGGTTGCCCAGGGGTCCAGAGGGTGCCTCAGATAAGAGCAGAAGTCACACCCAGAACCCCAAACACAGACCCTTTGTCGCAGATTATCGCCAAGTCTCGCCAGGGTTGGCTGGTCCAGAGGGTGCCTCAGATAAGAGCAGAAGTCACACCCAGAACCCCAAACCCAGACCCTTTCTCGCAGATTATCGCCAAGGCTCGCCAGGGTTGCCCAGGTCCAGATGGTGCCTCAGATAAGAGCAGAAGTCGCACCCAGAACCCCAAACCCCAGACCCTTTCTCGCAGATTATCGCCAAGGCTCGCCAGTGCCCAGGGGTCCAGAGGGTGCCTCAGATAAGAGCAGAAGTCGCACCCAGGACCCCAAACCCCAGACCCCTTCTCGCAGATTATCGCCAAGGCTCGCCAGTGTTGCCCAGGGGTGCAGATGGTGCCTCAGATAAATAAAAGAGCAGAAGTCACACCCAGACACCAAAACCCAGACCCTTTCTCGCAGAAACCCAAACCCAAAAACAAAAAGACACAGACAAGACTCCCCAGCCAGAGTCATGTCCGCATCAGAGGCTGCCATGGCCTCAGATATTCATTGGCTAGTTAAACAGAAACAAACCCTCGCCAGCTAGGCCAGACTCCTTGCTTCAGTCCAGTGGCGTCAGAGGGAGTTCAGAAGGAAAGCAGAAAGGCCGAGGGCACAGAAGCCAGAGTGCTGCAAATGCCAGAGGTTGAGACTTCACGTACTAATTACTATTATTACTACTATTACTACTATTACTACTATTACTACTATTACTACTATTACTACTATTACTACTATTACTACTATTACTACTATTATTACTATTACTACTACTATTACTACTAGTATACTAGGCCCAGAGCAGGCCAGAGGTTTACTATTGCCACCCTGACCCCAGACCCTGCCCCAAGAGACCCCCGCGCAAAACAACCTCAGGGGGGGGGGGGGGGGGGTTTATTAAAGCCACTCTTACATTACTATGCTATAATACTGAGGGTTCGGGGCAACCCTAAACCCTATATGCCCTAAACCCTATAACCCGTAAACCTGCCTGCTCCAGCATCTTCGACACGCGGCGAGAGGCCTCCCATCCACCCCGATCCCATGTACTCTGGCCCCAAAGTACCTAAATAGGGAGTACAGTCGGGCCAAAGTACAATAGACTATTTGGGCACATGGAGGCTGAGGGTAGAAGACGCTTTCATGGCATAAGATGGAAGAAAAACCAGTAAACTTGCGGCTTGCATCGGCTGGCACTGCTGGGGAGCTCCATTGTTCTGTCCGGTTATCCAGCAACAAAGGGATCAGATCCACCCTGCCTGCGCCTTGCTTGCGAGGCTCGCGGAATCCTGCACCAAGGAAATAGTCAGGCAGAAGCGGGAAGAAAGGGGCTCTGGACTCTAGTGCACCTAAAGCTTGCAACTTTCTCTCTCTCTCTCTCTCTCTCTCTCTCTCTCTCTCTCTCTTTCTCTCTCTCTCTCTATATATATATATATATATATATACATATATATGTATACATATCGTTGTATAGCTATCTATCTATATATATATATATATAACTATACATGCATATAGATATGTGTATAGAATACATGATTGTATGCACATAAAACACTACCCCTTTGTATTGGGGTTTGAGGTTGTGTGGATCAGGATTGCGGGCCTACAGCGAGACAAGCCTGATCACGGGTTTGGGCTTGCTTGGCCGGGGCTAGGGCTCTTAACCCACAACATAGAAGTCTTTGTAGTTAGACTGGGGCTGCGGGCGCTTCCCTACAACACATTAGCTATTTACATATCCAAAAGATTAGCATTACCAAGTACTCCGGTAGGTTCCTTGTAGAATCACAACTCGGCCTAAGGTTTACTGTTTCCTGCACCCGAAGCGTTCCACCTTCCACCCGAATGTCAAGCCCTCGATAAAAAGTCGCAGACGTACTGTTGATGGACAAAATCCTGCATGACCTTAAGGACCCCAAATTATGGGAATTATAGTATATTCCTGATTATGGGTCATGCAGGATTTTGTCCATCAGCAGTAGGTTAGGAGGCGCTTGGATGGATCCTCCGCAGGTTTCGCCCGGGATCCCCAAACCCGAAGCTTCCTAAACCCAAACTAGACTTCTGTTGAGTTGTTCTCCGCTACCTACAGGCCGAAGGCTGTACCCTAGCCCAGAAAGGTCATGGTCTAGGTTGTAGGGAACATGTTAGTCTATTCAAGATAGGATTACAAAAGCCATAAATGTGTAAAGGTGACCTAATTACTCAGTACTTACTTCACGAGCTGAACCATAAGCCTGCCTACAGCAAAGTTGTTAAGCTCTCAGCCAACAGCCGTTGTCAGAAAAGAGGTGGAGCCTTGCTGAAGTCACTCTCCAACATCTTTCGCCTTGGCATGATTTAGGGCCTGGGGCTTCTATACATAAGGTCTCCAAGGGCTTCATCGAGTTGCATAGAGGCGTATAGGGTTAGGGCTGAACAGGGCAAGAGCGCTCCTTGTGTAGGACTGTCATTTCCGGTGAACTCTAAAGCATAGCTAACCAGTGGTTTTGAGGTTCCCTGGGCTCTTTAGCTCCTTATTCAATAGGGATTATCATCATCCCTTGCTCCTTAGCTCCCCCAAAATCAGAGGCTAGATAGCATGGCCGTGTTGCAGCTCACCTCAGACCCTGCCCTCCTCACCCTAAGGGTCCATGTACTCAGATAGTATATACATTGGCCTTAAGGTACTCCCGCTTTTGGTACATTGGCCCCAAAGTATATACTATTTGGGTACATGGACCCTTGGGGTCAAGTGAGCTGGAGCTTTCGGTGTCCTAAGCAAACCCCGCAATAAAAAAGAACAACACCCAAGTGGGTGGTTGTCAAAATTGGGGTCCTATTTTGGGTCCCTACTATAATACGGCACCTATTATTTAGGGTACCCAAAAAAAGGCCCTAATTTTGACAACTACCCAAGTGGAAGCCACAAGGGAAATTTTGACATCGTGGAAGCCATGCCACCATGAAAAATGTGTGCCATAGCCAAAGCAGCCTCAAATCCCAAAATACCTCCCGCTCGCTACCTCTTCATCCGATCGGGGACACAACGGAGGGCTCATAGCATGACTTCTACGCATCAGGCATTGCTGAATCCAAAGTCGTAAGTTCGCAACCCACAAACTGAGCTCTTGCTGAGGAATTCATAGTTTAAGGTACCATAATACATAAACCATATGATGTACTATAGAGCCCCAATATGGTAACTTAAAGTACATCCCTTAACAAGAACCCCACTTAAGCTCCGCCAGGCTGAACTTGCAGCAAGTGGCTGAAACAGGTAGGCCACGGACTTCGGGATGCTAAACCACCTTCAAAAAAGCATGGTGCTAGGAGGTTTCTTAACGTGGGTGATCCATTTTGGGGGTTTTGGAGGGTCCTTTGTGTGGAGCCTCGTCGTCTCTTGGGTTTATATTACAGGGTGTCTCCCCTATTCTGAAACCTCTACGCTGTTTGTGGGCTTTTGCCCTGCTACTTAGCCAGGGCGAAGCCCGCATTGCAGGTAGTTCAGGTAACTGTTTGTCGGTTTCGGGTTTAGGCTTTGTTTTTGTTGTTTCCCCCTTTTCTGCCAGCCATTGCCGAGCTTCAGAGGGCCAAGCTGGCCGAGGGATTGGGATAACATTTGCCACTGATCGGAAGCGAGATTCCCACCACTTCTGTCTCTCAGCGTCTGTGGGTATTTTCCCAGATTTACACTCTACTGTCTTAGCCTCCTGAGAAGGTTCAACCCTGTTTTTTCAGCATGAGCGATCGTCGACGCTTCTTCACTTCTGGTGTTTCTCTCACTCCCGCGTTTGCATTCCTCGTCAAACGAGAAGGCCCTGCTGTTGAGGAGTGTTCGCTGGCACACAATCCAAGCCCATGCTCAAGGTTCAACCCCAAATCCTGAAACCCCTAATCCCTAACCCCTGATCCCCAAAGCCCCAGCGACTCGGGAGCTTGGGTATGGAGAAATGGGCCCGGATTAGGTGGGGAGGAAGAGAAAAATTGGGAAATAGGGGACCCTAATATGATACCCAAAATAGTGGGATCCTTATTATAAGGACCCCCAAATAAGGTACCCCTGATTTCGGAAACTCCCATATCAGCTTAAGTGAAACTATGCCAACTTGACACCAAACAAAACAACACCCCCCAGTCCAACCCCTACGTACGCAAGGACCATCATCCAAAACGCTATACGAAACAGGACTTGTAGCCTGTGGTCAACTACAACGTGATGGGTGCTAATCGCAACTGCTAATGGCAACACAATACACAACTCAAAGCAGCAGCAGGTGCAGCAACAATCGCACACGCCCACATTGAGGAGAAATCAAATCAGTGAGCTCAAGAATACATATCAGCATACATGTCGAGAAAGCGAATAACAAGCACAGGGTGTATGGCGTATCCCATTCAGGAAACATGTTTCGAAGAGTCTGCGACATTGCTTCTTGGCAGTGGTAAACTGCTGGTAAAACGGAGGCTTCCGAAACTCGTATAAGGATACCCGGGATGCCGTACCCCTTACAGAGTCTTCAACGGAAGTTTTTACACTAAGCCCGAAATGAAAGTCTCTGTGAAGGCTTGCACCCCTTGCCTTGAAGTCCAAACCCTAAACACCGATTGAAAAACACTTAGCCACTGTGTTGCTACCTTATCCTCCCTCTACGAGCATACTGCGATATATCTGTGCTCAAAGCCCTATCCAAAAACCTAAATCCCAAATCCCGAGATCACACTCCAATTGAGGCCCCTCTTTCAGGGATCACCTGGATAGGTCGGTGAGGTCGACCCAGCTGGCTGCGCAAATCTGCTGTGCCTGCCACCATCACTCTAAAGACTGTATGGTTTAGGGGTTTACGCTCTCACAACTCGGACACAGCCAGGCGAGGTTCTTAGGTTGGTTTAGGGGTTTAGGGTTGAAGCACTCGCAACTCGGACTCGCCAGACGAGGTCTCTCGGTACATGTGTCTGCGTATACGCACTGAAGATTACCCTCAGCGGGTTTTTGGTTTATGGGAGGGTTCACAGAGGCTTAGTGCAAACCCTCAACTCCTAAGTAATCCCAAACTCCAAGCGGAAGGTCCCCTTCATCCTAAACACTCAAGCCACTCAAGCATCCACAGGCTGAAGATGGCTAGAGCCTACACTGGGATAAGGGTTCTGCGGATTGGTGTTCATGAGTTGAGGGCGTGGGCTGTGTTCTCAAATGAGGGCTTCTTTCGAGGTTCGTAAGCTTGGACATAAGGGTTTTGTGCCACAAAACTTTGGATCTAAGGTTGCTACTAGCTACCCCACATGGCCCTACATGCACTTGACGGCTGCGGTTTGAGCCTGAAGACCAAGCATGCCTCCAGGCCAAACTACAAGAGCTTTCTCACCCAAGACACGAGAGGCCCGCACTACCAAACCTGGATACACCTGGAGCTTGCAATGGGTTTAGAATAACTCCCTCCACATTACAAGACGAAAGCTGAGACCACATCGTTCCAAGCAGTCCACATGCTCCTCAAAAGATGCAAGATGAATGCTAACCTAATCTGCCCGAACAGGTATAAGAACCACACAGAGTACGCATGCCGCCTGTTGCAGCGACAGTGGCAGGCGGCAGCCTTGCGAGCGGTGACAAGGCTCTGGCAGGCCCTCGTTGGAGTTGCGAACTTCGCAATTCAAAAAACATAGAATAGGGTTCCTTTTAAAGGGGTCTATAAGGACGGCTATGAGGAGTCTTCTCATACTACAATCAATAATCAAAATAATACAGGTAATTTATGTAGGCCCCTGTTGAGTGGATGCTTCCGCCTTGGGTGTGGGATGTCAAAGCGTTTCGGGCTGTGGAAAACCAGTGTCCACTCCTACCTGAACCATACAGAATAGGGTTTAGGGTTTAGGGCTAAGGGAATGGTATGATGCAGTACATTAGTAGATTGACAAGCATACAGAAAAATACACAATGCGAAATTAGTCCGTAAGCCACACATCCTGGAACCCCAAAATCCCGAAGCCTTGAGCACCTACAGCCAAAGCCTAGACCCTAAACCCCTAATCAAAGCACTAAGCCCCCAATCCTACACAATCCTACACTCCTAAACCCTGAAAAAACACGAAACCCTAGCCCTGAGCCGCAATCCTACAAAATCCTAAACCCTGAAGAAACACGAAACCCTGGCCCTAGACCCTAAACCCTACAAAACCCGAAGAAGCCCTAAACCCTCCCCTCCGACCTTCGAAAAGAATCCGAGCCGACAGTCGGGCCAAGTCCCTGAAGAGAGGCTGCTGGCCTCCAGGCTTGTCGGTACAGGTTTCGGTTTTCGGATTTATGGGTTCAGGGTTTAGGGTTTTTCCCTCCTACTTGGGGTTTTCGGGTTCACGGTTTTAGGGTGTAGGTTATACGGTTTCAGGGCATTAAGGTTTATGGGTTGAGGGTTCAGGATTCTGGACGTGGGTTTTGGAGCTACGGGGTCTTTTGTCTAGGGCTCCTTTCTTTTAGCGGATCCTTTCGTGTTCTATGATACGGGCCTTTGGGATCTAGTTGAGGGGCTTGAACAATCACCATGGACTGTTACCCTAAACCCTAAACCCTATAAACCCTAAACCCCATAAACCCTAAACCCTATACTTGCAATCAGGAGACCCGAACTTGGGCTTCGGGCTGCAAGCTTTCATGGGCTTTCGTTATGCCAATCTTGGCGAGATTCGACCTTTCGGGGTGTGGGCAGAGACTCCAATATTCCTTAATTAGGGAATATACCTTAAATCATATTGAGGATCCTACTATAATTTAAGGTATATTCCTTAATTAAGGGATATTGGAGTCTCTGGGTGGGCAGTGGGTTTTTTTTCCCCTCCCTCCCCTCGTTAGGACAAACCTACGATGCAGGGTCTCTTGACTGTTCACAAGATCTATACAACCCTGAAGGCCGTCCACGCATCTTCGGTGCTCTCCGCTCCTGTCATGGTATAGAATGCAGTTCATAGTTCGCGCCATTCAGGTAAGATTGTCCACGACGTTTCCAGCTAGCCGTCCGCCCTGGCCGAGTTGAGCAGAAGAGCACCGTGAAGCCTTTAAGTCATCGAGACCGGGCAGAACGTAAGGCCGTAAGGGCACTCCATACCGAGGATCTGTGTGCGTATGTGGCTTCGAAGCTTCGGTCCAGCCGCCATAAATAGCTTCTGAGAATCGCATAAATAATTTCCTTCGCTGTCCATCAGAGCCGCCTCCGCCGCAGCTACGACGGGGCAGCTCGGGGGGCGGGGGGCCCATCCCTCGATGGCGATCTCCAGGTCTCTTTCTTGAAGCAACTGAGCACGGCGAAGAGCTTCCAGGCCGCTTAAAAAATGCTGAGCGGAGCAGCGCTTCCGGCCACGAATATCGGATGTCATGGCGCTAGTGGGGGTTTAGGCTTTCGGCTCTAAGCTGATACCGGTCGTTTTTATGCAAGGTTTGATTTTTGATTTACGGCTTTTAGTTTAGTGTTGCTTGAGTGGGGCATCGCCTCCAGTGTTCTGAAAAAATATCAACACACCGTCAGGCTGATCGAAAGAGTCTAGGGCAACGTAGCTCGGGAGGCGTAGGGCTGGCTACATGTCGATAGTGCGGCTACAAAGGGCATGATGTCACCGAGAACAGCAAGTTCCTTAATGGTTAGAGCTACAAAGCGCATGATGTCAGCAAGAACAGCAAGTTCCTTCATGGTTAGAGACTAGAGGACGTAGTAAGTTGGGTTGTCAGAAATGTACCTGCGAAGATGGGGACAGTTAGGGGCCTAGGCTTCAAGGCTTCGCTGTTTCAGCTGCAGCAAGCATCTAACATGAGAAACCGATGCCAACACCTCGAAGCTTTGGTTCAAGAAGCCCACCCCAAAACCATGCGCAAATCCTTACCCACTCAAGCCCTACGCACTAAACCCCGACACCCGCCCAAACCCTAAACCCGAGACCCTGACCCTTACACAGCCCGTTTGGGAACCCTCATAGAAGCCCTTATCCGTTCGTTCACCGAAGGCTTAAGGGAGCATCCCAAAGACTGAACTTGTTTCAAGCAGATGGTGCTTGGGGGCCTCCTGCCCTGGATGGCAACATGTGTGCGTGTGTGCAAGTGTATGTGCGTATGCAGGTACTGCATGTATGCTTGCATAGACGTGTCTACTCATTTTTGTATACGTGCATGATCTGCATGTAATATATGTGCGTAAGTATGCATGTATGTACGCATTCATGTCTGTCTGTCTGCCTGCCTGTCTGTCTGTCTGTCTACGAGCTTGTCTGTATGTAGTCGGTATGTGCACATGTGTGCATGTACCTGTACTCATGTACATACCTGTGTGCGTGGATAGGTCGGTACGTAGGCAGGAGGGCAGGCAAGCAGGGAATGCAGGCAGGTCCGTACGTATGTTCGGATTTTTATCTACATACCGCAAGGTCTAATATGGGGGCCTTAATAATTAGAATAGGGTTTTGGGGTATTGGATTTTCTCACAAAAACAAAGGGCATAGGTAAATATTAAGGTCCCTATGTTCAGCGGCAAACGCGTTAGGAATCATTGCATCTGGGCCGCCGCCGCTCTTCCCATGTCCCTGCCAGGAGATGGTCGTGGAATGGGTGCCCCAGTCGTAGAGCCAAGTAGAGCCCAATGCATCCACCTTGCCATCAACTTTAGGGGCTGAAGTTCGGGTCTACTATAGGGGGCCACCGATACTACTTGAGGGTTTCTTATTATAATTATAGAATAATGGAGTGGCTGAAGCAAAGGTCTACTCTAGGAGCTTTAATTAATCATTTCCTTATAGTATACTGGGCCCCGAAACCCTATTCTAATCATTAAGGCCCTCTATTACATGCCTCCGGTTTCCAGAACTTCGGATGCGTGGTTGTCAGGACTTTGGGGATAAGGATTGAAGGTGTGGGGAATGTAAAGCTTGAGGCGCGAACAGACTTGAGTCTACCAGAGCGCCCTAAACCCAACACCTTCAAATCCTAAACCCTAGTATTAGTTAAATCCAAGAAGCCCGCAGCCTCAGTAGTTAGATCCGAGAAGCCCTCAGCCCTACCTCATATTTCCGAGAACCGCAAGTCTATTCGTGGATTGACGAAAACCGTAAACCTTCATAGCCAGAACTCCCAAAAGGATGGAGCTGCACCAAACCGGAGTATGAGCAACCCACGACATGTGAGGTTTACCTAGCCTGCCATACTGTCATTGCCTTGTCTGGCTGGGTTTAGGGTTCAGGAACAATGGTAACCAGCAGTCACCCGAGGAAGATATTGCAGTTCAGGATACCGATGGTAGTGGAATCCAGACCGTGACCTACTATCTCCTCCAGCAAAGCCGAGTGACAATCACGCTCCTGGTGGTCAAATTCCCATGAGCCATGCAGCCTCAAAGCTTGGGTTACGCTTGAGAGTCAAGTTTAAGGTTCAGGTAGGTTCAGCACTATAACTTGCCCGTGATCCAAATAAAAAGGTATGTAGAAACACTACATAAACATTCTTTTTCTAACTTCTACTCTAAACAAACCTTCAAAGCAGTATACTTTTGGTTGATTTCTTTACAGTAATTCTTAACAGACTTAGCACAAAGGCGTAATGCAGGCAGTTTGCGGGGCCCAGTAGTTCCAGTTTCAAGCTCAGGGGTTGTAAGGAGTTGACCCAAGATCCCTGAACCCTTTTTTAAAACCCTTAACCCTTACACCTCAAACTTGACCTTCGAGCTTCCAGAAACCCCGGATGATAGATTTTGACGAATCCAGGATAGGCCGACCCATAGAGGCCTTCACAACTGGAATTACGGCATTGCGTGTGCTCTTGTGTAGGAACCTGATTAAGAACCCTGGGTTATATCCCCAATGTCATAGGATCCATATAAGGAACCCTGACAAAGATCACGGGTTTCCTAATCAGCTTCCTACATTATACTAAACATATCACCGGGACGTGTTGAAAAAAATGTATTACTATCTACTCAGGCTTCAAGTTTAGCACCAACAAGCAATAGGTTAGTTTGAGTAGATCCAGCGACGAGAAACAGAGCGGGCGCCAGGCATCTTTGCCCCAGGACTTCTTCTCCTGAGCGTTTTGGGTTTAACATATCTTGGGGCCTTGATAGTTAGCATACGGTTGTGGGGTAGGTCATACTCTTGCTATAAGAAGGTACCCCCAAAATAGTATAGACAATATCTACGGCCCCTACATACACCCTATGACCTTTTTTATAGACCTTTTTTGAACGAGGCCTCTAACTGTTTAACTCTTTTAACGTTAAACCCTGAACCCTAAACCCTTTTTTTGCAACTGGGCTTGCGGGCTAACCAGATCCTTTGCATCGCGGCCTTTCGTGTTCACCCGACTCTGTGCCTAAACCCTAAGCCCCAAGCCATGAAGCAGAGCCCAAGTCCACGTAAGGGAACCAGGCCTTCTGGCTCAAGCCGGGGACAAAACTAGGGAAAGGAAGGATGTGGTTGTACAAGGCCGCCGGCAACCTGCTACAAGGAAGCTTTGACAAAACTCTGGGAACATTGAAGTCTGACTTCTGAGCCCAGATCTCACATCTGAGACCTGCAACCACAAGCCCTCAAAGGACCCTTTTTGCACACGTTCTTTAGAGAACCATTATTATTGATGTATCGAACTGGAAACAAAACCCTAACCGTTAAAACATGGCCTAGCATGAACTACCCAGAGACTCCAACATCCCTTAATTCAGGAATATACCTAAGGTTCCTTTAAGGGATCTATACTCATGGATTTAGAGCCCGCTCGAGGTTGAAAGGTGTCAGGTCCTTAAGGGTTGAAGCGTCCTTACCCATAGGCCCCAAAGTAGCTCCTTTTTGCGATTACCTTATGGGATTCTACATATGAGCCCTAAAAAGGGACTACTTTGCGGCCGTAGGGTAGAGTTGAAGTTTCTGAGAGGTTCAAGCCCTCTCTAATACCCCGACAAAGGTTGCATTGAATTTAAAGCCGACCCTAGACCAAATAGGGTTCGTGATTCTTGCAACCCAAATACAGTAAATGCAACAGGGCCCAGTGTAGGCGGCCCGAATAAAGCCCAAGGTCATGTGTTTTCCTTACATAGGTCCTTGGAAAGGTATTTGTTTGGGCCTAGGCAAGCTATACTCAACAAATCCCAGCATCCAATCGGTTGCAGAGGGCTTTGATGGCGTGCAGCTTCTCGGTTAGCTGGTTCCGGAAGTCGTCCTCTGAGGTCAATATAGGGGCCTTCATAATTAGAATTGGGTTTGGGGGCCCATTATACCGTTATCATATTAAGGAACCCCCCCCGACCAGTATAGGTATATAATTACTTAGACTTCTATATGAGGGTTTACGGCCTCGTACCATGGTAGGGGCAGCGGACTTCCTCGACAAGGCAGTATCCCGGAATAAAAAGAGCTTCCCACACCCCACTGTAATCAGCTTCCAGCAAAGGGGATTTCTAGTTATGAGGTGTCTACATTACATCATCTGTTAACGAAGCTATCCCAGAATGGAACCTGGAAGCTTTTGCAGCCGCAGCATCAACCTACTGTGATGTCAACCATCTACTACCTCTCCACGAACGACGCGAATACAAGAACCCTCATCGCTGCCCACAGTAACCAATGTACACCTCGACTTCAATGCGAAGAATGCTCGCCACCCTGAACCGTAAACCCACTGCAACTCCGGTCCTCGATTCCGACGGTCTTGCACAGCTCCGCGATCAGAGTGCCGGTGGCTGCAGCGACATGACATGAGATTCGGCTCAGATAGGGTTGCCGTCGAGGTGCCTATATTCGCGCTTCATGTGTGTCTATGCATGCATGCATGCATGTGTCAACGTGCCAGGCGCCAGTACAAACTCTGCTTCGGAGGTGACGGGGGTGCCTCCAGAATGGCCCAGAGCCCTAAACCCTAAACCCTACATTTCTACAGAAGCCTTCTTGAACCGTTAGAAACCCTCAAGGCGCAAGAGAACCTAAACCCTGAAGCTTTAAACCGGAGAGTCACCTGTGCTGCGTTTATGACTTAAGACGGGAGTTGTCTTCGGCCGAACCTACACTTACTGTAGGGATTTTAGGGTCCCCTATTTTCGGAAACTCACCATTGTCTTCAAACCCCACAGGATCCAAACCCGACGTGGTAAAACCTGAGCTATCTTCCAGGAGGACCCCCCAAGGGCCTTTTCACAGAGCCCTTATGGTACCTAATAGTGGCTATTTGGGGTATATCAGCGGGTAGTTGGGAGGTCTAGGTTTGTGTATCGCCCACATTTCCCAGAACCCCCTCCGTCCCCGCCCATGCCGGTAACAGGTACTTGGGTTCCGCTGAGGGAACAGGAGCTGCACTGAATTCGGTCTTACTTCACAGCCAAGGACATTGAGCTTGAACTCCCCGAAGGTTGTAATCATGAGGGATTAGAAACCAACACAATCCAAGACAGTCACCGTCAGCTCAACTCTCCAAAGCCTGAAGCCCGAACAAGAACAGTCCGAAATCCGGAAAACATTCAAACCTGAGACCCTACTCGCCCTCTTAAGCCTTCTTAACCCTAAACCTTAAAATTAGAATCCGTGGGCCTTTGTGGAAGATGTTGTACTTGGTGAAGCGTGGATCAGTCGACTCCATGATGCTCCTTCAACCATAGGCAGTTCGAGCCCCTTCCGGTTTAGGGTTTAGGGTGATTCCTAGCAGTTGAATAACACCCCCAAATAGACTCGACATATTAAGGTCCTGAAGGTACCAGATGAGTCCCAAACACCTTCAAACGAGCAGACCAGGGGCACCAAGCGTCTGGGCTTGGGGCACAAGCGCTTGGGGTACAAGGGGTCACTGGCTTAGAAGCCACGGTCTTAAACGCTTAGGGTCTCGGGAGTTCGGGTTTGACGGCTGAGGGGCCTAAATCCAGGAATCTTCATTTCTACGCCTTCTTACAGAACCCGAAGGCCTTTCAGTCGTCAAGGGTTTAGGGCCGGTTTAGGGTTTAGGGTTGTTTAGGGCTTGGAGCTTCGGACAATTAACCGTAAGGACCCTGAACCGTAACACCATCGTCGGAAATTGCTGGCACACGATCGTTCAACAGAAAACCTAAGCCCCAACCCCAAACGAAGCGACGATGTCTTCTTCTTGTTGTAGGGTTTGGCTTAACTTAAGTCTCCGGGCCTCCTTCTGGAAAACTGCCAGCAAAGTCTACGCAGTTGGTTACACAAACCAGAATCGTCTCGCCAGCTTTTGAAGCTTTTGCGGCGTGCTTTCTCTGTCACTGTCTCAGTTGTTTTGATCTCTCCTCGCGTGCACGCGGAAGGAACCAACCCTCGCTTCAACGTCATGCAGCTTTCGTCGAAAATCCCAAGACGAAGGCTTGACTCGCTATGGCCTTTGAGCCTGACTGAATTCGGTCTGAGTGTAGCACCTTCTGTCAGCATATAGATAGGCTTAATGTATGATACGGAGAATGTTAGGTTGTATAGCATGATGATGGAAACTTTAGAATTCGAGGGGTTTAGGGCGTGAAAAGCATTTAGGGGTTAGGGTGTAGTGTACGGTTCAAGGTTCGCAAGACTCAAGAGGAGCAATAAGGATGAGCCGTCAACCCCTAGTGGTAGCACGGGAGACGGCGACAGTTATTCTTGAGATTCTCTAATGCCAAACGGGCAGTATCAAAAACACAGGACATAACTTAACCACAAGCCCTGCAGTGGGATCTCAACATACGGGCTCTAAAGAAGGCCTCCCCAAACTTAAGACTCCCTGGTATCCACAATCGTGACAGTTCCTAAGACATCCCTGACCCAGAAGATCAGGGGAACAAAGGACTCTACACAAACCTTTACCTTGCAAACGGCTGCATGACAGCACTTCGGAGTTGTAGTTGTACTCGGATTGATAGTAACATGTGTGGATCGTCTTGGCTTTCTGTTAGAGCTCAAGTAGCTGTGGATTCTGATCTTCTCAAACCCGGGCCGGACAGCAATCTGCTCTCGTATAATGCCTGAAACGTCCTGAGGAGCCCTGCCGCGAAAGACTCATACAAACTCTAAAACCCCAAACCCATTTCAACCCTAAACCCCTTAGGCCTTAGGCATACCCCAAACCCCAAACCCACTTAGACCCTAAACTCCTAAAGCATACCCCAAACCACAAACCCCTTCCAACCCTAAACCCCTAAAGCATATCCCAAACCCCACCCTAACCCTTAACGCCTCAGGCATACCCCAAACCCCTTTAACCCCTCAACCCCTTCGGCATACCCTAAACAATCACACCCTCAACCACCCACCCCTCGTGCCTTCCATCTCCATGCTCCCTAGCTCCCTAAACCCCTAAACCCCAAACCCCTGAAGCATACCCCAAACCCCACCCTAAACCTTTTGTTTTTTTCAGCATGGGCTTGGATTGTGTGCCAGCGAACCCTAAACCCTAAACCCTATTCCCCTACAGTAGACCCTAAACCCCAAACCCCCTTAAACCCTAAAGCCTCAAACCCTAAACCCCAAACCCCCCTAAACCCTAAAGCCTCAAACCCTAAACCCCAAACCCCCCTAAACCCTAAAGCCCGAAACCCTAAACCCCCACAGGCTGCGAACCCAGGGTCCCCAGGGTGTCGAGCTTGTAGGCCTCCACGATGTCGATACCTCGGGAAGGGTGAGGTTTCTACCCAGAGACTCCTTTAAAGGGATCTATAGGCTTCCTTTAACGGGATCCTACAAGGGATCTATAGGGTTGAGGGTTGAAGGGATTCTAAGACGGCTTAATTAAGGGACATACCCTAAATCGTATTAGGGATCCTACTATGCTTTAAGGTATGTTCCTTAATAAGGGACATTGGAGTTGCTGGGTAGGTTGGACCGGAAAGGTCTCCGAGCCTATCCATAACTAAGATCTCGCCCAAACCCGCGAGGGGTTCAGGCAGCGCAAGGGCTCTCCATCCCGAGGAGTTGGATTTTATGTAAGATCTCCCCAGGTGCTTTTAAGGATGAGGCGCGGAGGTTAAGAGCTGGGAGGATTTGGGCTTGACAATCTGGGGGTCGAGGGCTTCGGGCATAGGTTGGGGGGTGAAGGCAGGGAAAAAAATTGAAGACATACTGTTGATGATATAAATCCTGCATTACCTTAAGGACCCTAAGCTATGGGAATTATGGCATATATATTCCTTATTATGGGTAATGCAGGATTTATACCATCAACCGTAGGACGAAGCTCTGACGCAGCATCTTTCCGTTCGTGCGACCCGAGACAGCTTCACGAAGACCCGCTGCTGCCACCGCGTTTCGTCCTGCCCGGACCCTGCTTAAGGCACCTAGTCCATGAAGCCCCAAAACCGATGAACACCCCAAAACAGGCCAAGAAGCTTGCTCGTTGCGGGGAGGACATCAGCCTCCCGAGCACACTCCCAGGTGCCACCAAGCTCGCCATGAGGCCTCCAAGGGGATGGCTTTTTGAGGGTTTGCATGATATGTATAGTCTTGATTGTGGTTCCTTTTTGGGGCTACCTTTTCGGATCCTTCCTATACAATTGCTTCAACCCCCAACAAAGGAACTACAATGGAGACTATAGATACCTACTTGTCGGGACTATACTACCCAAAAAGGGTTACAGGTTGCTTACTGTACTACTAGGGATAAGTCTGTGTTGATCTTGACGTTCGGGTCTTGAGGCTTTGATTGGCTTTTGCAGGCTCAGTCCGGGTTTGCCGTAATCGGGGTTGTTTAGTAGGCTTGGGTCGCTGTGCTTTTAAATATCTAGGAAGAGGCATGAGATCACAGATGGGTTCTTGACCTGCCGTACAGTATCTGGCTCAGTCAAGGGGCATTGGGCTTTTTTGGGGGGCATCATCTTTCGTGGTGCAAGGGTTGTAGGGTTTCCGGACACAGGCCTGGGCTGTTTGGAGGTGGGGATGTTAGCTCTATGGCTGCGTGGTGTTACTTAGCATCTGGGTTCCTGAGCCCTTCATCATGGTCATGAGGGTGCCCGTTTTCCTGCTATTCGGTTATTCGGTTTAACAAGGGAACCCTGAAACAAAAAGAGCACAAGGCTTCTACTCAGTAACCTAGGCATAGGCTGCCTCAAGGACAACATGATGTCAGAGCACACAGCATACGACTGCACATATGTTCCCACTATGTTTGCACACGGACCTATAAAACCACGACAGCCTGGAAACACTAGACCCTAAACCCTAAACCCCTAAACCCTAGACCCAACAACCAGGAACCTCGAACTGTAAACGCCTTCGATGTGCTAACCTCAAAAACCGAACCTTGGGACCTGCTTAAACAGTGCTCTTTACAGGTGGGAGTTTCCGAAAATTGGGGTACCCTCTTTTGGGAGTCCTTATAATAAGGATCCTACTATTTAGGGTACTATATTAGGGTTCCCATTTTTCGGAAACTCCCAGGTAGAGAGTCGAGAGAGGTGTCATATACTCGCGATGATCTAGATGCGCATCTTGTGTTTGGCCGTCTGATTCGCACTCATGTCCCCTTCTTGGCCCGTGAAAAACACAGTGAAATCATAGACGCACTGAGCCAGCCCCCTGCAAAGACACACAAGCAACAAGTGAGAGCATCCTCTACCTGAAGGACCAAATGACCCTCAAAAGTAGGGGCCTTATACCAATATACTATGAATCCCTATATGGTATGTGAACCTTAAACCCTTTTAGGGTTCATTTCGTCCTTAAGGTATCGCGAGCCAGGCCGCTTTCCAAAGTGGGCGCCAGGGTGGCGGCGAGCGTCTTGGCCGCTTCGACGGGTTGTTGTCAGAGCAAGCGACTTTTTTGGAGGAGCATTTGGCTTGATACCTGTTGATAAACAAGGGGGTTGGGGGCTTAGGGACAGTTACTGACTTTCTGACTGGCCTCGAAAGCTGAAGGGTCTAAGGCCAGCCTAGGCTTCGTCAATCGAATGTTGATTGTAGGCTTAGTTCTGCATAATGGGCTGAGGGTTCGACAGAACTTTGATCTCGTATGCAATCAGTCGAACCGCATGAACCCAAGAGTATGCACAGCTGTATCAACTCAACAGCCACGGCTGCCAGCTAAAGAAATACCTTGACAAACCCTAAACCCTCGGTAAGGGCTGAGGTCACCGACCATGTCGCTGCGCCCCGTAGCTGCTGCAAGAACTATGTCACGCAGGAGCACGAAAGGGACCTGCAGACGTACATACTTGCACTCAGGTAGGTAGGTAGGTACTTGCGAAACCCTAACCCCCAAAGAAGTAGGTAGGTAGGTGGTAGGTTAAGCCCTAAACCCCAGAAAAGTAGGTAATTAGCCAGGCAAGTAGGTAGGTACCAAACCCTACACCCTAAAAGAAGCAGATAGTCAGGTAAGTAGGTACCAAACCGTAAACCCCCAAAAAATCTGGTAGGTACAGAACTCCTGAGCGGTAAACACTAAACCGTTAATATGGGGTAGGCATGCAGCACCAAGCCCGATGCATCCGAAGTTTTGAAGCTGAAAGCTCTGAGCGCCGCGCCTCGAAGCTCTTTCCCTCCCCAAACCTACCCAAGAATGTAAGCCCTTTTTTACCTCTCGCATGGCTGGCCACAATGTCCACTGGCGAGGTTTGATAGGAGCTTTATGGGAGCTTGCAGGATCAAGCCCTGTCTCAGAGCTAATTGACTGCCTCATCGTAGATGACAGGCAGTTTCACAGATGCGCTATGTTTCAAGATCTAGGATTCAAAGGAACTTCAGTGATGCAACTTGGCACTCCCTCGCAACCAAAATGAAACAGCGTTCAGTCTACTCCTGCGAACTACCCCAGCTGTCACCGCGCTCACATTACAGAGTCGGCTCGACCAGAAACCATATATTCTCCATGGCGTTTATGTGGATTGCCCACAGCTGACTAGGAGATTACATGATATCCAATCCCAACCACAAGTCAGCGGCATTCTGAACAGGCGCAGTGAGCTTCAGGGTGCTGATGTTGCGAGTCTTTTTGTTTGCTTTTTCTTTGGTTTTTGCACTGACACAAGAACGACCCATGCGCTAGCAATCGCCTCGAGCAGACGCCACGAATCCAGGGCTCAAACCACATTCGTCTGCTCACGAATCCAGGGCTTGCTATTGAAATTGTTCAGGCCACATTGATGCGGCTCGCCACGATAGACACTGTATACAGCCTATCATCACATGCGTGACTGAGAAGAGGCTCGGGTTGTTATCGCAAGCTTGACCGAGCTATTTCGACAGCCACCCAAGGAGTACAGCCTCCCGTCACCCGGAATCACTTTGGCGGCAAGTTTCGTATCACGGACATACAGTATTCACAGCCAGCGGCCTCATCCTCAGTGCAACTGTTCAGGGCTTTTTTTTGTGGCCGGTCATGTGAAACATGAATTGCCAGCCCACACTGGAATTAGAAGTCAACACCTACTCATTTCCTAAGTCACTCCAGATGACCAGTTGTTTTGCATGCTTACGACAGCCGTCAACGACGCCGGCAGGCTGGGAAGTGTTCAAGCAGTCGGCAGGGAAAGCCATTTTGCTCAGGTAATTTTGGCAGTCACGTTCGCGCGACGTCCAAAACCGAACATGACGATCGGGTGTTCGGTCAGCCTTCTTCTTCTTCTGCCGTTTCATGTCCGCGGCTTTCTGCTCCTGGTCTACACACGTCTTGTCCGGCGCCACGGGTGCCTGGTCTACACCCGTCTTGTCCGGCGCCACAGGTGCGCAAGCATCGCACGAAGAGGACGCAGATGTGCTGGATGAGGATGATAAAGCAGGGTCCGCAGGGACAGAAATGCTGGCATCGCATGAAGAGGCCGATGATGATGATGTCGCAAAGGGTGCGCTAGAGGAGGTGGCCTTCGAGGCTATTGAATCGACAATCTGGTCGAATGCCTCCTCCGCAGCTAGCAGTGATTGGATCTGCAAGTGCAAGAGCGGGATAGGCTCTGTCTGGACGCCTTTGTCGATACCTCCTCTTTTCTTGGGCTTCTTCTTCGCCGCCTCACTTGAAAGAACTAGAAGCACCATCAGCACCATCGTCTTCGTCTAGCACTTTGGCACCCATTGATCCCAGTGCTAAGCGATGCGCAGGACACGGCAGGGCTTGAGCCAAAATGGCTAAACCCTTAGGTTGAAGGGCTTAAGTTTGCATGTTTCGGTGATTTCGGTGTTGAGGATTCTTAATTAGAGCCCTAAGCCCTAAGCCCGAAACTCCCAAACTTACGCCCCTATACTCCTCTGAAGCCCTTCGAGAAGCTTTCAGGAACACTGACGGGCTGAGTGCCCTAAGGGTTAGGGTTTAGGGTTTTTTTGCCCGTTTAGGGTTTAGGGTTTTTTCTCCCGTTTAGGGTTTAGGGGTTTAGGGTTTAGGGGTTTAGGGTCTAGGGTTTAGGGTCCTAGCCCAAAAAAGGTTAACCTTTTCAAACCATGGTAGGGTTACATAAACCCCAAAAGGCTAAAGGTTACCTACTCAGCTACTAGGTACACGCCCCCGAATCCTAAGTCCTAGCCCTACTTGGAGGTTCGAGGGTAGGGTTATAAGTAGTTAGGGTAACTATACTTATAACCCATATTAGGGGACTTATAACTACCCATGAACCCTAAACCCTAGACCCTTATAGAATCCCTATAGATCCCTTTAAAGGGCCCCTATAAACCCTACTTCTAACTACCCTTGAACCTCCAAGTAACTCCTCCTGACCATGCCCTACCTCGAGCTGTTGGCCCAGTGCCGCAGACAGCACCTGCCCCGCTTCTACTATACCCACCTTAGAGCCATAATAGAACAGTATGTTTCATATTCTCTTGGGTTTTTATATGAACAAAAAGTAAGGAAATCATTCCAAGGGGGACTATAGTAGACGTGTTGGCGAAGGTTTACGGTCAAGCTTCGAAAGCTTCGGGTCTAGGTCTAGGGCTTAGGGTCAAAACGTCATGAAGCTGAAAAAAGTGTATGGGGGTCTCAAAGTTTGGGGTCCGAGAAAGGTTTCGGGGGTTTTTTTGAGATTCATGCAGGCAAGTCTCTGAATATTACGTTCTGAACCGAGCCTATTGCAACCCAAAATCAAGGCCTTTTCGAGCTTGGCACTCCCACTTTGTTGCAATGATGTCCTACCGGTTCAAGCCCGGTTCCGTCTAAAATTTCCTAGCGAGGTCTCTGTACTCATTCGCTGCGATCCGTTGTTGTTTTGGGTCCTGCAAACACCGCCGTTACTGTTAATAATTTGTGGCCCCCTTTAAACTTAGGACTCTTACTATCATGTGTACCATTCGAGAGGCACTCCAAAACAGGTCTCGAATGCTTTCGAGACCCCTGCTGTGCAATAACTTCTCGTTGGGCCCTCCGCCTGCTACACGCTCGCCCAAAGAACTTGCAGCGGGTTTCAGCTGCAACCCAAACCGTGTATAGGATCCAAATTATTGGAAAAGAGGCACCATCCTAGTCCATAGACACTTGGGATGCCTTTGTTGTTACGTTACATTCGTGGATCCCTTGAACAACCGGATGTACACAGACTGGATGAGTAAACCCGAAAGCCAACCAAGAGCCTACTCAAGCAGCTGGCAGCTGATGGTTCAAATGTTTTGATGTTTATGGTTTTGGGTTTAGTGAGGCTTAAGCAAACCCACACACGAAACTTGCAATCCTTCATCGCAAGGCACTTTCCTCAGAGAATAAGCTGTACTCCCCAGCCCCAGCTCCACACAACAAGTCTTGATCCCAAAGCCGACGCCCAACGCTGAAACACGAAGCCTACCCGAAACTGTAGATCTTCAAGACATACATAAGCCTGCAGGAGTGTGTTTGTCAGGGCTCGGATTGTATGAGAATGTGAAACACACACCCGACATGATGATCAGCAAAGACCCGAAACCTCAACTTTTCAACCCCAGAAGCCTGACCCTACCCGTTTGGGAGTTTCCGCAACTACGTGGGTACCTTATTTCAGGGTCCTTATAATAAGGATCCTACTATTTTGGGTACTATGTTAGGGTCCCCTATTTTCGGAAAGACCCAATTTAGGACCCCCCCCCCAAAAGGAGCCTCACAGAACCCTGATCTTAATCTTTGCAGAGCCCTACAACCCGAAACTGAAATCCTGCATGCCCTTTTCAAACCCAGAGACTCCAAAATCCCTTAATTAAGGATTATTCCTAAAATTATGGTAGGATCCCTTATATGATTTAAGGTATATTCCTTAATGAAGTCATATTGGAGTCTCTGGGAACCCTGCCTCAGGAGGCTCCGTGCACGCCAAGGGGAGCTCCAGGGCAACCAAGGCCACATGCTTACCTTGGGAACTCAAGTAGTAGTAGTAGTAGTAGTAGTAGTAGTAGTAGTAGTAGTAGTAGTAGTAGTAGTAGTAGTAGTAGTAGTAGTAGTAGTAGTAGTAGTAGTAGTTGTAGTAGTAGTAGTAGCAGTAGGAGGAGGAGGAGTAGTAGTAGTAGTAGTAGTAGTAGTAGTCATGTGGGTGGTTGGCAGTATTTGGGTCCCTTTTTGGGTCCTTATTCTCATACGGCACCAATCCTGACAACCACCCATGTAGGAAGCCTGCATCGTTGCCAATGCTATTCCCCAGGGCTCGTGTTGTAAAGATATGAAAATGCACAGGTGGTGGTAGTAGTAGTAGTAGTAGTCTAGTAGGAGTGGGAGTGGGAGTAGGAATAGGAGTAGGAGGAGAGGAATAGGAGTAGGAGGAGCAGCAGCAGGCTGCAGCTCCAGAAGCACAGCAGCAGGCGGCGGCTGAAAACTTGTCAACTACATCAACTCACCGTCTTGCTATCCAAACTTCTTCCACTTCGTGGCACAACCCGACACTACTCGGCTATGTTGCCACTGTTGGTGCAGTCAACCCAAGACATGCCACTGATAAACATTATGTCCGAAGTTCTCATGCATCCCTCATGTATCCCTACACCCTAAACTACCTTGTGACCCTGTTTTTGCATCAGGACTTGTGCAATCGCCTTGTGACCCTAAACCCTAAACCCAAACCCTAAATCCTATGACCCTAGAGACTATTATAGTACCCTAAATAGTAGGATCCTTTTTATAAGGACCCCAAAATAAGGTGCCTATGCCTTGTGACCCAAGGTGCTGAGATCGAAAAAGTAGTTGCTGGACCCGCCGATCTGAGTGGCCAGATGGTTCCGTGGACCTCTGTATCATAGAGGCCCTTAGAGGGGTACTTAAAGGATCATGGGACCTAGTAACTGGGGCTATAAATAAGGTAAGTATACTTATAAGCACTTCTAAGCCCACTTGAGGTACTTATAACCTGACTTACTATGTCCCATGATCCTCCGAGTAGGGGACTCTGTTTCCTTGAAAAGGCCTTCTTAGGTCCTTGTTATGGGGGTGCTTATTATGGGGTTCCTCTGACTTCAGGAGTGCGGATTAACGGCTTTACGAAATGTAGGAAGCTGATTCAGAAACTTTGGGTCCTTATTAGAGTTCTTTATATGGATCCCAATATACTGGGGTTATAGGGCCAGGGCTTCTTAGTCAGGTTCCTACATTAATTATCATACTTATACTGCGATCGAAAAATGCCCCCCCCCAATCGTATTCTAAGTATCGAAGCCCCATGTTAGGCTCCCCTTCATGAAATGGGAGTTTCCGAAAACAGGGGACCCTAATATAGTACCCTAAATAGTAGGATCCTTAGTATAAGGACCCTGAAATAAGGTACCCCTAATCTTCGGAAACTCCCAAATAGGGCTTCATGGCTCAGGATTTGGATTGAGCAAATGGTGCTTTAGCGCTCAGGTTTCGGGTTTGAGGGCTTAGGCCTAGGTTCTGAGCTTCAGTTTCGTGTTAAGAGCTCACGTGAATTTGTTTGAAAGTCTTGTACAGGTACTTCAGCTGGCAACGTGGGTTCTAAAGTTCGCATAGACTGAGAATCCGAAATTACAAACCCCAGTTCGGAGAACTTCAAGCCATCGGTTTCGGCAGGAAACCGCACAGGTCAGGGTCATGACGAAGCAAAATGCTATGTTTACTTGTTACTCTGAGGGTTAAGGGTGTTGCTCTTGATCGGAGCATATGGCTTCTCGGCTGCAGCTAGGGCTAGAAAGCACCGAGCTTAGCGGGTTTGTAGCTGAAGCCTAAACCGAAACCTTGGCTCTCCAACCTTGTCCACGATGTAGCCGCAAGTCTCTTCCCTGAAAGCCCTTCAGCCGTACTTTGAGGTGCTGCTTTGTGCCTAGGGGTAAGACCCCTACTCCCTGTCGCCGATAACCAGAAACAAGACCCCTAAACTCCACCAGCTCGCTGCTGAATACCTTTTCTTTCCCCAGATAGAACAGCATTCCAGCCGTTTTGGAAACCTCAAGAAACCCTTACAGAGCTCTTAAGCCTTATAGACCTTACAGTCATAGAACGTCTAGAAAAAACTTCAGGACCCCGTGAGCATGGAACCCCTGGAAACCCCTGCGGAATCTTAATTAAGGAACCCTTATAGAACACTTAAGCCTTAAGCCTTATACTCATAGAACCTCCAGAAACCCTCAAGGAAGATTATAGAAACTCTGGAAACCCTTATAATGGAACCCTAAGGAGCCTTAAGAGAGCCTTTGGAAACCCTTATGGAATCCTTCTAGGAAGGAGCACCTGAGGCCACGCGGTTCACAGTCGTCAACGTCCGCCGCCTCAGCTTAGGAAGGGTTTAGGATTTAGGGTTCAGGGTTCTCTAGGGCTCTAGGGTTCCTTTAAAGGGATCTATAAGGGTTCCTTCGAGGGTTCCTATGAAGGGATCTATAGGGTTTAGGATACAGGGTGTGGGTTTAGGGTGTCGGCGTTCGCACTCGGACAATCCAGGCGAGGCATGTGCTTCGAGGTCTGATGAGACGATCTAGTGGGAATGATTTTAGCGTTTTTTTTTGAAGGCCCTTTTTCCGTCTGCTAGCGTGTAGAGTGTAGGGTTTAGGGCGCGGGGTTTCTAGGGTATAGGTTTTACGGCTTGGGGTTTGAAGGGTGGAGCTGCCCCTTCTAGCCTATGGGGTTGTGGCGCTTAGGGTATAGGACCACGAACGAAATTGCGTACGCACTGACTTGCCTTCAGGCCTGTCACCGAAAAAACGGCTTTGAGAGCACTGCACCGTGCACCGGGCTAGCATGCCACTCTTGGTACCCACGCTTTCCATTCTACCAAGAAGGATGGTCGTACTTCTTGTGCTTGCCTTATCCAGTGAGCCACTGCATAGAGCCGAAGCCCAAAATCCCGAACCCCAACGCCACCCTTGAAACTTCAGCCTCAAAGTCAGAGTATGTGCACCTGGGGTTAAGGCAAACCCTAAGCCTCTAGGATCTTGGGTTCAGGGCCTCGGCCGAATGAAAGAATTGCTAGGTGCCGAAGGCGTTTGGAGCTCAGGCCTCACTTTGGTGTTTTGGTGAGTCCCTGCGTAGTCATCTACTTGTCCAGACCATACCCCCAACCCAAGAAGCTTGAACTCCGTGAAATTGCCACTCACTAGATGAAATCGGCCCCAAGGTGAGCGTTCACATGAGCCACTAAGCTGAAAAAACAACTATGTCGTTGTTGACCCTACGCCTCCAGGCCATCCGAAGCCTTGTCCTGCTAGAGCAAACCGACACTTTGAATCCCAAGTTTGGATTTGCATGCTAAGCGTACTTCAGTGTGTTAAATTCTAAGAATCCGGAACTGCAGCATGGACGGCTTCTTGGAAATAGGGTTTAGGGTCTAGGGAGACCTCATCTGCACGAAGCGTACACAGCAAACATTCAAAGTGGAGGGTTATCCCACGTGGAAATCTCGTGCCGAGGGTTCCGGCTGGTCAGAGCTTAGGGCAGAGCTGTGCTTCAATGCCCAGGCACAGTTCCTCTCCTGCCCGGGACTGCTCCGAAACCTGCCGAACCGTCGGGTCTTTAGCATCGAAAGACTGCAAGTACCGGCAAAGTCTCACCCAGTTGCTTTGAACGCAGAGCTCCGCTTCGACTCTTGTATCAGTTCGAGCTAGACTGCTAGACCCTACCACTACCCGGTGCCCCTACTAACCTGAAGCTCGAAACCTCAAGCCTCTAAAATCCAAACTTCGAAAAAACATTTCGGGAGCAGAGGATTCAGGGGCAAGGGCTTTCTTAAATTCTCAAAACCAAAAACATCTCCGTTCTGATCGACATTCTACATTCGCAAAACCAAAACCTCTCAGTTCTTTCTGACACCGACTTTTTAGAGATGTCGGCTTCTCCCTCTCCCTCTGCCGCGCCATGGTGCTGGGCCTACTATAGGGGCCTTGTGTTTATTTGATTAAGGTTCATTAAAAGGGATCCGTAAAGAGCTACTATAAGGGATCCACAAGGGTACTATGATATAGGGGCCTTAATAATTAGAATCGGGTTTTGGGGGGACCATTATACTATAACTATAATCAGGAACCCCTCAAAATAGTATAGGTAATTATTAAGGCTTCCATATTAGGTTCGGACTCTAACCCTCAAGCCCTAAAGCCCTTTTCAGCACGGGCTTTGGGTGTGTGCCGGCAAGCTGGAATCGTATTGCCTTCACAAGACGCCAGCAAGCTAAAAGAACTGAACACCCTAAACCCCTGAACCCTAGACCCCGAAATCCTAAACTCCTCAAACCTAAAGCCCAGCCAGGATTGTTTTCGCACCAATTGACGTTCAATTGCCCAGCCCGACAGAAGGTAGAAGGGCTTAACGAACGGAACAGGCTTTTCGGGTATATCATCTAGAACTACAGAAGCAGCCCAAGCTTCGATGTGAACCCCATGTTGTAGATGCTCATACTTAACATTACACTTCTAAGATATTCATACTTATTATTGCACTTCATCTCTCTCTCTATATATATAGATATATGTATGTATATATATATATATACACGAACTACGGTAGCATGATAAGAAGCCTAACAGTAGCCCCATCGATAGGTGTAACCCCCGAAGACCTCGTCGTCCGTCACGTCCCAGAGAACTTTCGCGACGACCAGCTGTGTCGTCTTGAGGGTCTCTCCTTTTGGGTTTAGGATTTAGGTCTAGGGTTTAGGGTTTAGGGTCTATTTTTTGGGGTTACCTTATAGGATCCTAAATATGAAATTGCTTTAAGCCCCCAAAAAAAGGAACTACAATGGAGACTAGATGACTGGGTTGTAGTTTCGGAGCCCTAAAAAATAGGTATGAACCGGCACCTCTATAGGAACCATGAGGGATATCCAAAAGCATCCCAGAGTGTCACCTAGCCTTATTTGTGGAACAGGGGCTTAAGGTTTAGGGATACGTGTGGCTGTTAGGTGGAAGGCTTCAATGAATTCCATACGCCGTTTTGTCCCTCGAAGTCCAAGACTTGAATAGATTTGCCAACCCTAAGGCTCCATGTACCCATATAGCATATACTTAGGCCTTTAAGTGCCCACATAGGAACCCCTTTAAGGCTTGAGTATCTACTATAAAGGTACGTGGAGCCTTTGGGCGACAAGCCCTAAGCACGCTGTCTGAAATTCGCAGCCGCGGGCAGTGTTGCAAGAAGTCAAGTTGGGGCCAAGCTGCTGTAGACCGCCACCACGAGTACCACGGGCCGGCCACTGTCCTGACTGCAGAAAACTCGCAATCAGGATGCTTTCATACAGCTCCGACAACAAAGTAGGATTGAATAGATGAAGAGTAAACTGGGTGGCGTATGTGTGATCTGCTGCTTCAGCTTCTTATATATCTCGAACCTCTAGGGATCTGGATTTCTGTCGCAAAGCCCGACTCATCTGCCTCCACCTTCAGAGATAGCGGTGAATTTGGTCCCTTGTTCATCTTCGGCAAATGCTCACCAAACAGGCTAGTCATGCCACAGAAGCCAAAGTGAACAGGTGATAGGTGGGAAGGAGAAGCTGAATCGACACTCGAATGTGGTCATCAATAGTACGGAGTGCCAGAGACCAAAAGGAAAGGCTGTCAAACGGTAACTGTAGCAATGAAGCAAAGAATGGTGTGATGATGATGATGATGATGATGGCGGTGATGATGCTGATGACAGCGGCTGTGGCCATAAAATGATTAAGGTTGGTGATCGGGGTTGCAGTGGTCATGGGTGATGCTTAGGCTGGAGGACAATTTCATCTCAGCCTTGAGCAAGCCATATGGGAGCTTCCGACAACTGCGGACCCTCATATACTACAGTACCCTAAATAGTAGGGTTCTTATTATAAGGACTCCGAAATAAGGTACTCCTAATTTTCGGAAAGAACAAATAGTCGGAGCTTGTTTCTAAACTCGCTCGGAATGCGGAAACCACGGGAAAACCTGCCACAGCCTTAAGTCTAAAGCCCCAAATCGCGGCACACACTGGCACCCAGCGTCATAGGGGCAGTGCAGGCATCGAAGAATAGCCCTTTCCCCCTCCTGTCCGCAGAGACTGGCATGTCGTTGCTTCTGAAAAGTCTTCTGGGGGTGCCATATTCCTTTAAACCCCAAAACCCCAAACCCTCATCCTTAACTCCAAACTCCTTATTCCGGGGTCCTTCTACTTCGCTTGTTTTGTGCAGCTCCCAGTCAGGGGCTGGGTTTTGGGATTTTAGGGATTTGTACTCTGTCTGGACTGAATGAAGGCCGTTGTCGGAGAGGTGGTGGTGGCGGTGCGCGGGCTCTTTTCGTCCTGCATTGGGAGCCTCTATTATAAGGGTCCTATTTCAGCAGACTGGGTAGAGTAACTAGAAGGGTGCTGGGGCTGTTTCGCTCACGTAGTGAAATGGGGCGTAGGGAAGAACCCCAGGCTCAGGTTCCACCACAAGAACTTCCGGGTGCAACAAGCAACGTGGAAGGGAAGTCGCCAGCCTTACGACATAGTAACTCAAAGTTGTGTTCGGTTTGGAGTTCAGCTTTTATAGGATTCAGGAAAGTTAAAGCACACCACGCGGATTACTGAGAGGACCAAGGGCAAAGCAACTAGGGTTATAATTCGGGTCACTGCACCAAGACGCTGATAGAGCTTTGATGAATGCACGAATAGCCTTTTACTTACAACTACGTAGGCGCCGGGACCTGCCAGCGGACTCCCTCCCCCCTAAACCGACCCGACTTTTCGAACCCTGCTGAAACCTCAAACGCTACCTGAAAGAAGTCAGGTGTTCAATGCTCGTGTCCCCAGGATGACAACCAAAACGTGCAGGCACCAACATCTAAAAGAGATGTATGCACTCACCCTAAACCCTAAACCCTAAACCCTAAACCCAAATCCCTGATACAGTCCCCTTGGTTTGAAGCCTTAGCCCAGAGCCCAGAGTCCTTAAAACTCAAAAGTTCGTGAGTGAGTAGCCTAAACCCTAAACCCTAAAACTCTAAACCCGAAGCCCCCAAAATGCGACTTCTGTGCACCTCATTGAGTCGCAGGGCTTGCTCGAGCATCTGATAGATATCCTCCTGTTCAAGCGGCTTCTTCGAAAAAAGGCTGTTCCCAGAGACTCCAATATTCCTTAATTAAGGAATATACCTTAAATCATATAAGAGATCCTGCCATAATTTAACGAGTATTCCTTAATTAAGGAATATTGGAGTCTCTGGGTTGATTCACGGTTGTCAGGGCTTGCCTGCGCCTCTGCAAGTACCTGCCTACATTTTCATCGGGCCATCGGGTTCAAGATTTTCAGGCTCGTCTGGAATTTCGCGTTTGGCGCGCTTTGCCTGCGAAGCCTTTGAAAAAGAGGCAGTTGCATCCGATCTTGGCGTCTAGGGTTTTGTATGGGGCTGAGGGTGCAGAGTTTGCGGTGTGCTGAAGCATTTGCTTCTCAAGATGACAAAAGCGAAAACCCTAGCACTGAAGACACCCCACTGCTGATGGACAAATTTCTGCATGACCCTAAGGACTCTAAGCTATGGGAACTATGGTATAGTCCTTATAATGGGTAATGCAGGATTTTGTCCATCAACAGCATCACCCAGAGAAGTAGCCGTGAACCTGCAAGTGCTCTGACTTTCTGACGACGTTAGGATGGACTTTCGGGAAAAGCAACTGTCCAGTGGCTTGGGGGGTGTAGAAACATGGGACCACAATCCACGCAAAGCACAGCCAATAGTCGCTGCGATAGTCATGTCAACATGATGCTTATCGTCGGAACCGCCACAGTAATAATCTCCGACTTTCACTTACATGACTATCGGCCCTTTCCGGGACAGTGCCGAAACCTGCATATAGACAGCGGCACTCCGTTCTGCACAAAATCTGAAATCGTGCAGGGTACCTTTCGTGGGCATGGGACTAAAGACTGCTAGGGCCTATCTTTTTCTTAATCTCATGAGCCCCAAACCCTTAAGCCTGAACCCTAAATACTGAAACCCTTGAACCCCTAGGCCTTGGATACTGCCCCAATACAGTAACAGCCTATAAAATGGTGCCTTATAAAGAGCCTAATATAAGTATATTACGAATATTATCCAACTGTTGCTGAGTGGGCGCAGTACCCAACCTAAACCCCTTTCAACCCCATATTTTATCACCCCAAGGAAACCCGAACCCCTATAAACCCTATATAAGCCATATAGAAACCCTATAATACTATAAAGACCTCATAAGCCCTATAAGCCCTCAACCCTGATCTTTTTGTTCCCCCCAAAGACCCTAAATAAACTTTAACACTAAAAACCCTAGACACCATAAACCCAAAAAACCCAAAACAAACGTTAACCCTAAAATGCCCTAAACCCCATAAACCCTATATACCCTAAACCCTAACCCCTGATGTTTTGGTTCCGCACTTGGAGGGCCTGGCGCTCGTGTGTTTCCAGGCCGCTCAAGTCGGGTGGGATGCTCCTCCGGAGTAGGCTCTCAGGCCCAGAGACTCCAATATCCCTTAATTGAGAAATATACCTTAAATCATATAAGGGATCCTACCATAATTTAAGGTATATTCCTTGAGGGATATTGGAGTCTCTGGGGGTTTGGGTTTAGGGTTTAGGGTTTGGGGTTTAGGGTTTGGGGTTTAGGGTTTGGGGTTTGGGGTTTGGGGTTTAGGGTTGGGGTTTGGGGTTTGGGGTTTGGGGTTTGGGGTTTGGGGTGTGGGGTTTGGGCTTTGGGCTTTGGTTTAGGGTTTGGGGTTTGGGGTTTGGGTTTTTTTCCCTCCTACCTAGGGGTTTAGGGTTTGGGGTTTGGGGTTCGGGTTTAGGATTAGGGTTTTTTCCTGTGGTTTAGGGTTTAGGGTTGGGGGATTTATGGAGTTAGGGTTTTTGATTGGGGTTTCGACGCTCACACTCGCACTCGGCAGGCAAGGCTCCACACAGTCCAACGTATCTCAACAAGTGTGCAGCGGCAGCAGTTTCGGGTAGGGGGGTTATGGAGTCGTTAAAGCTAGGGCTGACGATATGTAGGTGCAGAAAGTTTCGGCTTTCAGGTTTGACTGGTGTTTCGCGGGCTAAGTGGCTCGGCTACTTGCTTTGGATATCCGCGACCTCTTGAAGGCACAGTGGCATCCCGAGCACCAAAAAACCCTGCAAGCCAAAGCCCACCCGAAAAACAAACCCCCAAATCCCCGGTTCCGAACCCCTAAACCCACAACATTCAACCCACCGAACAAATCGCAAAACCCAATCTTCCAGTCTCCCGAGTGAGCCAATGGATACCAGGAGTGTCCTGATCGGATTGCCGCAGAGTTGGCTGCGACCTTGGATGACTGGCAAGGAACACCGTTTATCGACGCACACCCCAAACCCAAACCAATCCCTGGAAAATCTGCCCCGAATACTGGCGGGAAACGATAAGATATTGGCGGTGCAGGTAAACCCTATATCCCCACTTCTGTCTGCCGGGCCTACTCGTTGTTTTTACCTCCCATTACCGGAAGGGGTTGACAATGATACTCAAAAATAGCTCAAATAGAACAGGATCTTGACCTCCTTCCCAATCGCCGGGCTGATGTCGTTCCCTGCACTTTACAGCGAAGGAGTTATAGGGGACGCCCGGAGCCTCGAATCTATGAGGCTTTCTGGTTCACGAGCAACTGGAACTGACAACCCTGAAGCCTAAACCCAAAACACCTAGACCCCAAAGCCTTGAAATACTAAACCCCAAACCCCGAAGCAGTGAAGGCTTCTTTTCGGGTGCAATGGCTTTAAGGGTTTATAGTTTCCTTGGGGTCCAAATAGCCGGATGTAGGTATTATTTTACGTGTGAGACCGCAAAGTATGCATTATTTGTATACTTGGAGCCCAGCCTCTGTGCTTACTCCGTGAGCGAAAGCTCGAAAAGAGGCAAACCCTCCCAGCAAGGCCCTCCAATGTGCTGTAGCAGTAATAATGGCTGTAGGCCCCAAACCCCTAAACATAGCCGAAGTGACGCCAACTCCAAAGCTCTTCTACACGGTTCTCGGCCGGCGCCTGCGCAAATTGCCAACAACAACAAACAGAGAAGGAGAGAGAGAGAGAGAGAGTGACATATACATATATATATGTATATAAAAATAAGTTTCTATTTATACACACTAAGCAGGTGCTACATCAGAAAATGAATATAAGTTCATAAGCACTGAAATAACGGTATGCCTATGTATGCAAGTGTGTCTTGTGTGTATACAAAACACACACACATCTATATATGCGTGTATATATAATATAATTAGTACACATATTGTGTTCCTTGCTTGGTTGCTGGATTGCTTGGTTGCTTGCTTGCTTGGTTGTGTGCTTGACTCACTGGCTGCCTCACTGACTGACTGACTGGTTGATAAGTGCGTATATGTACACATCCAATAACTATTACTACAACTACCGGTTGAGGCTGTTCGAATCTATGATGTAGGATTTTAATCCAAACCCCACATGAATAGGAGCCTCACACCATAACACTCGACCCCTGAACCCTCAACCTGAGTAGCCGCAATCTGCTGAGGGTTTAGGGGTAAACTCGGGCTTATGGTAGCTCCTCATGGTCTACACTCTACAAGCTCCTGACATTCGGGTATGAGTGCTTACCAGTGTCGCGGACTCTGTGGCCACCTCGGCCCAACAGCGACCCAAAGCTTAACCCCACCTGACTGCACGCTGTGTGTCACTCCCAGAGGGGCCTTCGAAGGTAGCTGTCTTTGATGGGCCGCAGCATATTTCCCTGCATCAAAACCTTCCCCAATCCTCAAGCTTGAGCTTAAATAGCAACTGATCTTCAAACTGGGGTTCCGGATCTACCAATCCTACTAGAACCCTTAAGTTGAACCCTCGAAGAATCAAAGGAACCCGGAATCACAACCCGTAACTAAATGGCATCCGCAAAGCATTGAAAGGAAAACCTTGAAGGAATCTTACGCAGCTCCCAGGAGCCTTCTGCGTTCGCACGATGGGCCGACCGAAATTCAAGGGCAAGGGCATGTTCAAGTTGAAAAAAACCTGGGATGACGCTTCTGGGGCCTTGGAGGTTATTTCAAGCTGCAAAAACCACCATTTTTGGCACTAAATCCTATAAACCCTAAAATTTTTGGCACTAAACCCTAAACCCCAACCCTTAAACACCGCGGCACATCTGGGGCTTCAGAGGTTTGTGCTCAAAGTCAGAAGAGCCGGCCTGGCCCTGGCTCGTTGCAAAAGTCGCGGGGCTTCAATTTTGAAGTTCCTCTTTTTTCCCTCCTTCCTAGCATGGACGGGGCCCGCATTGGGGTTTAGGGAGTCGGATGTAGGGTTCTTAACAATCGTAGTAGTGATAATTTCTAGTGTTTATAAGGTTAGCTGTCTTCAACCACGGGTTCGAGGATAAAGCGAGAGTTGACCCTGTCGGCTCTAGCGTCGTTGGGCCGCGCGGTTTTGCTGAAGTCGAATATCGGCAACGGCACACGCTGGTATTCAAACGTGTGCGACGCGCGCCCCAGGTCCCGAAACAACTGCACCCCATCACCGGCCTGACATCTGCGAAAAGCGAAGACGAAAACGGGTGTGGCACACATCCAAATACCCAAAGGCTGGTCATCCGAAGCCCCAAGCGTGACTTCAAGACTGCGACAACCCCCACCTTAGACCATAAGCCTAACATCATTCATTCCAAGGGTAAAAGGACGGACCCTTAATAAGGACCCCTAGGTATAATATACCCTTAATACAGCTATTACATACCCATTATATAGCCCCATTATCGGGTAGGGGTCCCCATTAAGGGTCCCTCCTTTTCCCCTTTGATGCATGCCAGACTGAAGTCTGACACTCCGAACCCCCCGAGCTTTTCCTCGAGGGCTCTCAGGGCCAGGAGGCACTGAAGAAGGCGAAGATGTTCGTAATTCCTGTTGCAGTTCGGTTGTTGGGTTATGGATTACCTCTACGCTTCTCGAGGCCTGGAGCCCCCAAAATCCCGAAGGATCTCGGAGTTGTCGAATTCGAACCAAGACGGGGGGTTTAGAGCAGTGATGTGTCGACGAGGATCATTCAGAGGTTTAGGGTTTTAGGGTTTAAGGAACTTTCGGAATCGACACCAGGTCGAGGGCCTGTGGGCTACCTATAGTCTCCATTGTAGTTCCTTTTTCTGGTTTAACCAATAATACATTAAGGATCCTATTTAGGTAACCCCAAAAAGGAACTACAATGGAGACTATAGGTGGATCTTTTTCTGCAGCCAAAGCCTCGATTCTTCGGGTTTAGGAGATGCGGCCTGGCCTAAGGGCTAGCAAAAGCCGTTTCTAGAACCCTTTAAAGGAATCCTTACAGGAACCCTAAAGACTCTAGAATCCCGTAAATAAAGGGAACCCATATACGAAACCTTCTGGAAATCGAATTAAGTAAGCCTCCTTAAACCCTTAAGCCACTCCTGGGTAGGTCTCCGAAGGTTGACAGAATTCTTTCTCATAGTCCACCCGGATGATGCCAACTTTGCCTCAGGGAGCAGGGGCGTAGGGCGTCGAGTTGAGCCCGAAGAAAGATAGGTTCTTCATCATACGGAGTTCAGGTAGGGTTTACGGTCCACAGACTCGAAAAGCACGATTTTGATATGAAAAGTCGACCAGGGTAAGTTAGGGTTTTACGACATATACCTCAAGCGGAATAGGCTGTTTAGGGCTTGCGGAAAAATCTGTCTTAAACAACTTTGACCTGGTCGGGTGTGAGGCTCAAGGTTTACTGTTCGGGGTCAGGGTTTAGGGCTTAAGAAGCACCGCGGAAGATCTACGATTGCATGCCCCGTTCTAATCACTGTACTTCCTGAAACGGCGCAAAGTCCGGCGCACCGCCGCTTGCGCCCCTCGTCGGGGCTAACTTGCTCGTCGGGGCTGACTTACAACCAGTACAGCCGAAAACTCCGAAGCTTATGCAATTTAAAGAAAACCCTGAACCTCGAACCCTCGCTTCTTCAAGCCTAAGCCCCTGAATCCTGAAGGGCATAAAGCTCTGAACCCAAGCCCCCGAACTCTGTGGAAATCCGTTTCGAAGCCTTGAGCTCAATCCGAAAGCCGAGACCTCGCTTCCAGGATTCCAACATACAACCCTTCTCTCTGGAACTGGCCTGCGATCTCTCCAGAATCCATGTCCTGCGTAGGGCTGTGGCTCTAAAGTACATGATCAGGCAGCTGCACTACATTGAAACCGCCTGGGTGTCGGGGTTTTCGGGAAGTAAGGTTTCTGTTAGGGTCAGAACTCGGAGGTGTAGAGCGTAGGCACCAGTAAACTCCACTAAACCCTGCGCCGTTTTAGCTCCAGCACCAATCTGACGGATCTCATGCCATCCCGAAAATTCGAAACACTGCAGTCACACTGCTTCTCTAGAGCACTGGCCTAAGGATTTAAGGGTTCTGGGATCATCCCTGGGCCCAATCCCCCGGATCTAAAAGCCCAACTAACCTAAATAGCCCAGTTCCCCGAAACCCTTACTAAAAACCCTAAACCCTAAACCCTAAACAATAAATCCTTCAACCCTGAACCGCTAGACCGACTTCCCCTCCCCCCCCCCCTAAACCCTAAACCCTAAACTCTAAATCCTAAACTAGGATGCCCAGTAACCCAGGAACAAAAAAAGAAGCTAAACAAACATTATATAGGCTGCAGCTGAGCTAGTCCTGACATCTTTGGAACCCTAAACCCAAAACCCTGAACCCTAAACCCTCATCCCTAAACCCTAAACCCCAACCCCTAAACCCCAATCTCTAAACCCCAAAACCCTAAACCCTGAACCCAACCCTGAACCCTAAGCCCCCAAGAGCTCCAGAAAGCGCCCAAGGAAGGAAGAGACTACCTGCTCGTAGGGCTGATCCACCATGCCTTCCATGGCTTAGGGATTCGGGTTTAGGGATTCGGGTTTAGGGATTCGGGTTTAGGGATTTGGGTTTAGGGATTAGGGTTTAGGGATTTAGGGTTTAGGGATTCGGGTTTAGGGATTCGGGTTTAGGGATTTAGGGTTTAGGGATTAGGGATTTAGGGTTTAGGGATTTAGGGTTTAGGGATTTAGGGTTTAGGGATTTAGGGTTTAGGGTTTAGGGTTCAGGGTTGAGGCGGGTTTAGGAGCTTTGGGTTTATCCACCATGCCTTCCATGGCTTCATGTAGGGGCCTTAATAGTTTGAATCGGGTTCCTATTTAAAGGGACACATAAGGGCTCCTTTAAGGGTCCTATAAGGGTACTTGCATGGCTTAGGTTGATGTTCGACATCCGGCTGCGGTACTTGAACTTCCAGGTCGACCCGCCAACGGAGGACAAAAACGATGCAAGACTCAAAATCCCTGAGGGTCCATGTACCCCAATAGTAGAAACTTTGGCCTTAAAGCAGTCTCTCTATTGGTACTTTGGGGCCTAAGTACTTGGGCGCTGTGGGGAGTCCTTTGCAACCGTACCCGAGTCGCAGAGGGTTTAGGGTTTTTTGGGGTTTGTCAACACAAGTTCCCCTTGAACGTGAAACTCATACTGGAGCTGCAGAAGCACAAGAGAGACAAACAGAACAACCTAGATTGGCCTCACGGTCCTGAACCCACACCGTCAGAGTTCGTGCGAGATGCTGCCACGGTACTAAGACAATACAGATAGAAGTGGGCGGCTTAGGGATCTAAATTCACGGGTAATCTAAGCATTAGCACGTGAATTCCGTCTTTGCTGCCAATGCATTGCAAATCCCTGAACAAACATTTACATTAACAACAAACGTATCAAGCCCTTATAAGGCCGTGCGGCGGTCACAAACCGGAAGCGCCGGGGTCCGTTTCACGGAGCCGGGTGCTCGCGCATGGGTGTTCACCAAGGTGTACTCGACATCCTCAAGGGCGCTGGAGAGTCCCCTTTAAGGCTGCTATATAGGTCGATACGGGCTTGGGGTTTAGGGTCCTATTACTGTAGAGGTTTTGATGCTTACACGTGGACAAGTCTAGGCAAGGTTTACCGAACTCAACGTCAAGGATGTCTTCCCTAAGGAGTAGGGTTAAGGGTTACTATAGAAGTCAGCATAAACTTGCTATACGTAAGGGTCTTGTTTTGTTTAAAGCTCCGAAACACCTCATAAATGGGCAAATGATGGTAAATGGGTGTAGGATGGTAGTAGTGCAGGATATGCTTTTTTGGAGGGCGGTGTGTATGGTCTGATCTGATTCTGTTTGCCACCCACTCGGGTCTTCGGCTTTCGGGGATCAGGACTTGAGGTCGTACAGGTTAGAATTCGTTGTTTTGGGCTTTCAATACTTCAGAGTTCAGCTAGGACTTACGCTCTCGTTAGCTAGGACTGAGGATCCAGGGTTCAGGACCTTATCCACAGTTTCGTGGTTCAGCATCTGAAATCATGCCAGGCACACGGGGCGCAACATTCAGAGCAGACCCCGCCGGGTTCCTTAATATATACGGGCCTTAATAGTTGGAATAGGGTTTGGGGGGTATATTACACTATATTTATAATAAGGACCCCACTCCAAAAAAAAAGTATAAGTAATCATTACGGCCCGTCTATTAACGGCCTGCCGGCTTCTGATTTCAACTTGTCGCAGTCGTGACAATGGGAGTTATAAGGTGGAATTTTCATCAGCAGCCAGAACACAACTTCCATCACCATCAGCAGAACTGTTTTCATCATCGTCGTTTTACATATATGTATATATATATATATATATATATAGTCGTAACACTCGCCATGGTCAATGTCATCACCGTTGCAGGAATCGCACCGCAACTCCCCTCAGACACAAACAGTATGACTCAGTATGAATAATAAGGAGGAGCCCTTCCGGGGAGGAGGACAGGCCCAAAGAGTCCTTGGTGCCTAGCTGCCAGTGAAGGTAAGCCTTGCAAGTCGCAAACTTCTTTGCGTTGGGATTTCATCAACCCCGCCGTTCAGAGCTGTGAGGCATACAGGACCGGACTTCGCACTCCTTTAAAGGGTCTACAGGGGCCTATACCTTGCTCTGCTTTGAGAGTGTAAGACCGCAAGCTTCGCGCAATGCAATCTTAATTTAGGCAGTCACCCGATGTTCGATGGTTCTGCTGATGGTGTTGACACAGAGATTGGTTCTGCATGACCTGTTAGGGATAGAAGACCAGTTCTCTAAGCCGGGGGTTCTCACTCATGTAGGAACCTGATTAAGAAACCCTGGGCCTATAGTCCCAAAATAGTAGGATTAATAAAAAAACCCTTTATGTTTCTGAATCAGGTTCCTACATTAGAGTCCCAAGATGTAGCTCCTTCGGTCCAAGGCTTGGCTGCTAAAGGCGAAGCAATGTCTGATTCCTGCCCGAATCCTTTCTCTTACTCCGCACTTGCTGGCTCGCTCGCACGGTCACGGTATCTCTCTCTCTCTCTCTCTCTGCCTCTCTCTCTGCCTCTCTCTCTGTCTCTCTCTCTCTCTCTGTCTCTCTCTCTCTGTCTCTCTCTTTCTCTCTCTGTCTCTGTCTCTGTCTGTCAGTGACTTTAGCATCTGCGGAACCCTGTGGCTGAGGAGGCACAGGTCGTACTCCTCCTCCTTCTCCTCGTCGTCCTGGCGGGTTTGAGGCTTCGGAGTGTAGGCAGTGTTGTAACACTGCCTGGTTTCTGGGGTTGGTTCGGTTCAAATTTCATGGATTGATCAGGCAGCTTTTGACTTTGATTTTTGGAGCACAGGGACGTGCAAGGCTTCGGTTGCTGAAATCCTACGGCAAAAGATCACAAGCTGGAACACCCGCCAGTGGGTCACATGTGGTGGTCTGCGTTTGTAGGGGCTTCCTAGAGGCCCAGCGCACACATATTTCAAAACCTGATCCAGCTTTATTAAGCATCTTTACAAACAGGAAGACCCTCCAATTGAAAGGAAATCCACCCGAGTGGTGCCAGAGGCTTGAGGGCATAGGCTTACGTTAGCTGAACCTGTCAGGCCTTAGAATGAGAGCGAATCACACCACACTAATCACCAATCTCCTTGACTCCCCAGCCTCTGAACCGCCCTTGGAAAGCGCTCTGAAACGTGTAAGATAATGCAAGCCTGGCCCTAAACCCGAGAGCCGATCTGCAAGTGTCATCCTCTTGGGTATCACAATGTCTTCTTGTGTCGCTGATCATGCTCATCACCATCACGAGTATTACTATGCATTGTATGTTTTGAATGAAACTATCTTCCATACGATCGAAACACCATCACAGACGTGTTAGAGAAAGAAAAAGGGATCCTGTTTATGAGCCGTCGTGAGGAAAACAAGGGTTCATAGGTTCCCAGCCAGCATTGAGCAACACTCGGCAAGGAGTGATTTGAAAGCCGTGATCTTTTGGGGGATCTCCTTCAACGGCTCCCTTGTCTTCAGCTTCTCCAAAGAAGTGGTGTTTGTATTAGTGAGATGCTCATGTGTGGCTTCCACCCTCCCATTCAGGTCATTCCTGGATTCTGAAGATCATATCAGGCCAGTGCAATTCTTGAGTGCATGGAGTACTCGTGGCTACACCACGATCGTGGCAATGGCGAATCCGTTGAAGACCGGCAGGTGCTCTTCCAGCTCCAGTGATCCCGAAGCCAGGTATCCCAAACATCTCAACAAACAGCTGCCTCTCCACATGATCGGCCTCGTGAGTTACGCGCGATGCGTGGCCAGCAAATTGCATGCCCATATCTAAGACGCCCGGAGGCACGACAGGGTTATAGCCATATGTTCTGCCATGCAGTCGAGCCTCCTTAAGGACTATGAGGGGACAGTGTTACCAAGTCTTCCGGCATCTATGGTCCGTGTAACCAGTATATAACACCCTTATAGACACCTTAAGCCTCAAATATAGTGTAATATAGTGGTAGCTACTGGATATTGAACCGTAAATCCCTGCTGTTTGAAACAAGTGTAGTAACTGGAAAGTATCATATACATCCTCATATGATGCCAGAATATCGTGCAACTACTGGGTACTATACTGCAAGTCCTCAACCCTTTTTGAACGAGGTCTTTCTGAAGTCCTCAACCCTAAACCCTAAACCCTGAACGCTAAAGCCTAAACCCAAAGCCCCTAAACCCTAAACCAAGCCCCTAAACCCTCAGCCCTAAAGCCTAAACCCTAAGCCCCCAAACCCTAAACTCTAAGCCCTAAACCCTATAGATGCGTTATAGGAACCCTCATAGATCCCTTTAAAGGAACCCTAAGCCCTAAACCCCACGTCCTCATCGTCCGAGCTGGTCTCTTCAGACTCCTGGGGCTTCCTGGGCCCAAGAAGGCTTCGGGGCTGTAGGCTTGCAGGCTCTAAAGGGTTTAGGGTTTAGGGTTTAGGGTTTAGGGGTTAGGGTTTAGGGGTTAGGGTTTAGGGTTTAAGGGTTTAGGGTTTAGGGGTTTAGGGTTTAGGGTTTAGGCTTAATAAATAGAATAGGGTTCCTTTAAGGGATCTACAAGGGTACTGTGATGTAGGGGTCTGTAAGGGTACTATGATGTAGGGGCCTTAATAGATAGAATAGGGTTCCTTTAAGGATGGTTCTATAAGGGATCTATAAGGGTACTGTGATGTAAGGGCTTAATAATTAGGATAGGGTTCCTTTAAGGGTGGTTCTATAAGGGACCTATAAGGGTACTATGATGTAGGGCCTTATTGAATAAAATAGGGTTCCTTAAGGGTAAGGTATAGGGATCTATAAGGGTACTGTGATGTAAGGGCGAATAGGGTTCCTTTAAGAGTTCCTTTAAGTGTTCTATAAGGGTACTATGATGTACGGGCCTTAATAATTAGAATAGGGTTTTGGGCCCCTTATAGTCTAGTTAGAAAAAGGAACACCCAAAAATAGTATAGGTGATTGTTTAGGCTTCTGTATCAGTGCTTTAGGTTTCAGGGTGTGCGATTTCAGGGCT